GTGAAAAATCTTTACTAAGGATCCCTAAGGAAAGGAAATATCAGACCGACGCAATTGACATCGAGTGGTAGAGATTCAAATATATTCTTCTTTAATGACATGCAATAGTAAGCTAACAAATTAAGAAACCTCAGTTTGAACCACAGAGGTGACACACACAAAAAAAACAAGAGATATGGCCCTAATTAGTGAATTTGTTAATCTTCAATCCCTAGTTTATGGACAAGAGGTCAAGTCTGATAAACATATACAGTATGAAAAGTCTTCAAAATAACATTTGAATTAAATAAAATAAACAAAATAAAACATTTATATAGTGCTTACTACATGCCAGGCACTGTACTAAGTGATCCTCGAAATAACCTTGGAAGGTAGGTGCTATTATCCTCGTTTTACAGATGAGTAAACTGAGCAAACAGAGGTTAAGTGACTTGCTCAGGGTCACACAGCTGCTAAGTGTCTGAGACTAGATTTGAACTCAAGTTTTCCTGACTCCAGGCCCAGCACTCTATTCATCACTTAGCTGCCTTGAAATTGAACAGTATCTGGGGCAGGTAGGTGGTGCAGTGGATAGAGCACCAGCCCTGAAGTCAGGAGGACCTGAGTTCATAAGCCAGCCTCAGATCAAACACTTGATACTTACTAGCTGCCCATTGCCCAACCAAAAAAAAAAAGAGAAATTTAGTATCAGTTCCAAATATCTTAGAAATTATCTATTAAAAAAGAAAGCAAAAGCAAATTTTTTAAAGTTCACAATGAATTCCACCAAAGTATCTAAATATTTGAACAACCCCAGTATACAACATATTTCAGATCCTGGGACTTATGAAAATGAGAAAGTAAACTGTGTCCAGTGACTAGCAGAACCAAAGTCATCTTTATCCATTGTCAAAAAAGAGACTGCCTACCCCCAGAAAGATTAAAGATTTTATTATAGCCACAAATTAAGTTAAAGGTTTACAACTACAAAAGATTTTTATGAATTATTGAATTTTCAAGCTGGAAAGGGCCTTGGAGATGCTGAAACTGACACCCAGAGAAATCAAATGACTTACCCAAGGCCACACATCTAGCAAGTGCAGCTGAGATTGGACCACAAATCTGAATTATGGAAAAGTGTCTTTCTTCTATACCATGCTATATCTAGCTTCAAGACATGCTACAAATTTATGTACTTTGGGTATCAAGGCTGTAGCAGTGGTCTTCGAGGATAACAATATGGTGAACATTGTAATAAAACCATTTTGGTTTTCTTCTGTAACTCCTTTCTACCTTGAACTCCATGCAGACTAAAGCTATAGCGGCATGGTTGAACCCAAGTGGACAGCTAATGCTAAACTCCCGAAGGGTTGTTGTTCATTACTTCCTTCCCTGACATCATGTCGGCAGTACAGACCTAATCTCAGAGACCTGCAGAAGCATCAGCTAAATCCCAAACCTCCCTGTATTATCCACCACAGATTAAAGCTGCATTCCCCAAACTGCCCTGTGTGAGGAGTGAGAGCTGTCTGTGAGGACAGGTAAGCCTGCTGTGCGTTTGGGAGCCTTTTAATTAAGCAGAGCTTATTTAATTAAGCCCTAATTCAGGTGTTCATTCCCATAGCCTTCTGATTAATAGCTTGAAACAGAGCTCCCTTAAGCTCCCTAACTGCTCAATTAGATGGCTTCAGTTTGACTGTCTCTCAGGTGGGGGTCTGTTATTTACACTTAAAGGGTCATCTTAGGAATTTCATGCTTACTTATCTATATTATTGTTCTTTCTGGTTTTATGAGAGAGGCGACCAGGGAGAGTAGGATTCTAAATGAATACAGGATGGCGGAGCAGAGAGGACCAATTCCACTCAACAAACGTTCAAGTCCCTATTGTGTACAAGGTAGAGCAGCCGCATGGGGGTAGAAAGCCTCCTCAGAATCAAGATCTGAGTTCAAGTCCCACACCTCTGGAACCTACTGGCCATGTGACCCTGGGCAAGTCCCTTTACCTCTCCCTGCCCCAGGCAGCTCTCTAGGACTCTTAAGGTCATAGTCTGTGCTGATTCACAGGGATGGAGGAGTTTCTTTGTCAGTAATTCCCTATACACACATGCTAATATGGTTTAAAACAAACAAACATGCAAGAGTGTTTGTTTTTGCTGGCCAAGCTTCAGTCCTCTCTGGCTCTGAAATCAGAACCATGCCCAGCATGATCACCTTCACTCTCCCCCACCCACATCACTCTTTTCAGTTCTCTTGGGTGCTGTCTTCCTTCATTAGAATGTAAGCTCCTGGGGCAGCTAGGTGACGTAGTAGATAGAGCACTGGCCCTGGAGTCAGGAGGACCTGAGTTCAAATCTGTCCTCAGACACATAACACTTCCTAGCTGTGTGACTCTGGGCAAGTCACTTAACCCCAAATTCAGGGACTGTCTTTCCTTTGGCTCATATTTGATTCACCATTGCTTAGTATAGTGTCTGGCACATAGAAAGTGCCTAAAAAATGCTTGTTACCTTACCTTGTCTTTTTTTTTCTTTCCTTTTTTGCCTGCACCCTCAACTAGCTTACTGGGAGAACAAGACATTTGCACAGTTAACTTCCAGAAGGAGAGCACACTAACAACTAGGGGGGTCAAGGAGGACCTTCAGGTAGGAATTTGCAGCTGAGCTGCTCTTTGAAAATGGGAAAAAGAGAATGCATCCAGAGCTTGGCGAGAGCCAGTCCAGAAAGGCCCTAAGACAGGCAATGGTATATTACATACAGGAAATGGCTGGTAGGCAGTCTAACTGTGACGCATCTTGGGAAGTACAAGGAAACAGAATTGGGAAGGGAGGTGAAAAACATATTGTGAAACAACTTAAATGCTGGGTAGACAGAAGGTCATCTACTGAAAATGTAGAATGCAAGGGAAATGAGCAGCCATTTAAAGCCCTTCAGATTTCTAAAGACCGTTTTCTTCTCTGAGGGCTTGATACAGCATGGAGCTGCCTGAGACGCATAGCCTGATCACCAGTGCTGTTATGCGGGAAGAGGGATTAGAATTAGGTTTGTTTTGCTTGGTTCCAAAGTGCAGAACTGGCAGCAGTGAGTGGAATTTGAAATTGAACAGGCTGCCTAAAGAGGCGGTGACTTCCTCATCACTGGGGGTGTCCAAGAAAAGGATAGATGTCAAAGATGTTCTAAAGGAGAATCTTTTAATCCAAACTGTCTTCAGGATGTTCCCTCAAAAATCACACTGGGAACCTCCCCAGCTCTGTAGATTCTCCTCCTCAAATCTAAACTATGCGGCCTAAAGAGTTGTGCGTGTGTGTGTCCATTTGTATGAAAACACCAATGTAAAAGCTATAAAGACCAGCACTACAGATAATGAAATTGACTGGAACTCCCACATAGTAAAATGTGGGAGATGTGATAAATGTGAGATCTTTAGTATTTAAAATGTTTTAAGGAAAGATAAGGAGGAACTTCCCAGAACCAGATATTTTCTTCACATGCTGATATGTAACTAAGCTATGCAAATCTCTGGAAAGGGACATCTGCTAGCTCATTAAATGCTGGAGGGAGCCTCTGAGCTGGATTGTGGACTAATATTCGGAGGAAGGAAGAGATGTTGGAGTTATGAATGGATTTTTTTTAATGAAAACATAGAGTCAAAGAAGAACTAGTAAGAATATGGGCTGTTGGTTCAAAGATTATGAGAACAAGTTTCCAAAATTTTTCTTAAGAATAAGGACAATAGGGGCAGCTAGGTGGCGCAGTGGATACAGCACCAGCCTTGGAGTCAGGAGGACCTGAGTTCAAATCCTGCCTCAGACACATAACACTTACTAGCTGTGTGACCCTGGGCAAGTCACTTAACCCCATTGCCTAGCCAAAAAAAAAAAACCAAAAACCAAGAATAAGGACAATAGGAAATAAAAAGAGAAAATCAGAAGACAGGAAGAGTCATAAAAGTTACCTTAGAGAGTATCTAGTCCAACCTCTTCATTTTTCAAAAAAGAGAATTTTGACCCAGACAGCAAAGTAAATTGTCCAAGGTCACACAGCTAGTAACAAAGCCTAGCCAAAAATCGAGGTCTCCTGACTCCTTGTCAGATAGCATTTCCACTACACCCTGATCCAAAATGTGTTAATGGACATAGACTCACAAGCTAGGAAAAAAAAAAATGACTAAGGTTAAATGTCATAAACAAGAGAAGGCCTAGTCAGAAGTTTCTTCTCCACAGAGTCCACAGGGACTGCAGCTGAGCTAGTTCAAGCAGAAAATTGCCACAACAATCAAATCTAAAGCTGAAGGGAAATAGACTTGAGGCTCAGACAGGAAAACAGTTTGACACTTCCAGAGATCTGTGGAATCAATCAATGCTTGTTGAATTGCTTTGAATATAACCTGTGCTTGGATGTGGAGATAGGATTGACTAGAAATAACAACAATAACTGAAATTTATATAAGGTGTTGAGGATTACATAATATTTCACTTATATTGTGTCATTTGCTACTATGGTCTTATAGGGCAAACAATATAGGTTTTGTAGTCTAGCTCGGCCACTTACTAACTATGGAGAACTTTTCCCTTCTTTTGGTCCTCGGGTAATGGCAAAGTTATCACAAGCCAAGCCTTCTGTTGCAGATATACCCTATTTATCATGAGGTCCCACTAAAAAACGCTCAGATGCTGTTCAAAATGACAGCATAAAATGCGGTTAAAATTTTCAGGAAAATAGCCCTGAAATCCTTTTGCTGAGGACTTTTTCCCTAGAGGGTTCAGAACAATGCCCTTTCATGAACAGATCCCCTTGTAAACAGATAATCCCAGTAATTGAATATTATCCATTCACACCACTCAATTATCTTTTCTGTTGACTAAAGAAATTCGACTATCAAAAGAATAGCAATTTCAAGCTGACAACTACCACTTTGCACAATACAAGTAAAAATCCACTATCCGTGAGGATAGGGTGATTTTTTTTTTCGAAGTCTGCACTTCTCTCTCAGTAACAGCCTTTACCACAATACACTTTCTGATGCTTGCTTCACCAGCCCATATACTGAAATTAGATGATATGGAGAAGATCAGCATGGTCCCTGTGTAAGGATGACATGCAAACCTGTATAGTATTGCATATTGTTAAAGGCATTTTTCCCCTCTTCCTCTGTGTCTTGAATTAGAACCGTGAAATCTCAAAGTAAAGAATTCTGGTTTTCAACAACCAATCTTACTAAGATTAAACGACATTTTCACTTAAGAAGAGAGGACAGTCTGTCAAATAAAATAGTTTCCAATATGTGATGGAAATAAAATTCAAGTTAATATCACCAACAAAAACTGTTTCAACCTATCTCTTCTCCCACAGAAGTTGTATCTATCCGTTAAAAGGAAAGTATAGAGGAAAATCCCAGATAATTCAAGGCTACAAAAAAAAAAAACAGACAACTGAATTTCAACTATAATAATCAGATAGTTGCAATATTCGGGCTGTTATAATAGCCTCCTAACCCCCCAATTGGTCTCCTTGTCTCAAGTGCCTCCCCTCCGCAATCCATCATCCATGTAGCTACCAAAGTGATTTTCTTTTTTTTTTTTTAATTAGGCAATTGGGGTTAAGTGACTCCCCCAGGGTCACATAGCTAGTAAGTGTCATGTGTTTGGTCTGAGGTTGGATTTGAAGTCAGGTCCTCCTGACTTCAGGGCCGGTGCTCTATCCACTGCACCACCTAGCTGCCCCCAAAGAGATTTTCCTAAAACACAGCTCTGACCACATCACTCTCCTGCTCAATAAACTCTAGTGGCTCCCAATTACTTCTAGGATCAAATAAAAACTCCTTCATTTAGAATTTAAAACCCTTCACAACTTGATGCCAATCCACCTTTCCAACTTTATTGGACATTCCTCCCCTTCCCTCACCCTAGAATACAGCCAAACTGGCCCCTGGTTCATCACACAGGAGTCACCACCTCCATCTCCAAAGCTTTGAAGAGGCTGCTTGTTCTCCAAGCCTGGAATTCATCCCCTTTTCACCTTTCAGAATCCCTCCTTTCTTTCAAAGATCAGCTCCAGCACCATGTTCTACATCAGGCCTTTCCTGATACCTCCCATCTAGCCTCCCCCAGAATATTGTCATGTGTATACTCTATATTTCTTTTGTCTATATTTTACTTATATAGGAATATAACTGGGATCTGGTATGTGCACAGGCTCTATCAGTCATCTGTGTGGCTGATACACCTTCTCCATATGGAGGAATTTAAGGAGCTTGCTTTCAGGAGAGTCATGATGATGGGGAATGGAAATGCCTTGGAGAGATTGTAAAGTATATGTTGACTTTCTATAACTGATCCTAGTTGGCCAACTGTGCATTGAAGAAGTTCTTTGATTAGCTCTGGAATCACTCAAAAAGGCCTATCAGCATCAGCTAGTTCCTCACTTGGTCTCATTTGTTGACTCTTCAGGAATCTAATGGGAGACAATTCTGCAAGGGCCTTCTTCTCTCTGAGGCCATCTAGCCCCAAAGAAGACCTTGGTCTTCTTTGCATTTGTTCTTTTCCCCAATCTTTTGAGTTCAAAGGGTCTAAAAAAGCAACTCAGCAAGCCTATGTGCCAGAATCTGCAAGTCTGCAACCAGCACCATATCAGCACTCCAATGGGGAGCAAGGAGTGACCTTTGGGAGTGAAAATTAAAACCCAGGACAGCAGCAGCTGAGACGCATTTATTTGGCAGTCAATGCTCCATCTGGACGTGAACTTGGTGGGACCAAGGTTCTATAGGAACTGAACTAGGTTTAGTCTTCTCCCTTCTCAAAGACTGAGGTGGTATAGGGAAAAATGTGAAAATTTGTTCTTGCTATATCTTTGAAGTAAATATACCTTTTGTAAAAGCTAATCAATGTTAAATGGTTAAATGGAACTAGGCCTGACCATTGACCCCTAACAATAAGGAGAACACAGGCAGTGGTGGCTCAAGCAAATGGCAATAGAGAAAAGACATCCCACAAATTGCTTAGGGTACCCTAGGACCCTGACAGGAACTGGTATCTATATTATCTCCCCTTATAAAATGTATTCTCCTTGAGGACAGGAACTATTTCATTTTCATCTTTGTATACCCAGGGTTTAGCATAGTATCTAGGACAAAGTAGGTGCTTTTTTTTTTTTTGGATGCATTGATATTTAAGGCAAAGGGAATTTTGGGGGATTCAATTATCTGGATAGTTCTCACTTTTTCTTTTGCATAGATAGATAAAGCCTAAAGAAATTCTTCTATTTAGTCACTAGTTTTAGAGATCAAAGACTTGATGTAGACCTATCATTCCTGATGATTTGCAATTTGTGTGAATATATAAACAGGACTAAAAAAGTCTGTCATATAAATACTCAATACCCTGTTCCCCCACAGGCTCTGTGATGACTATGGCACATGAAAAGCTATAAAGTCTGATAGAAACAAAAATCTTCCTATACCACATAGCAAGCCTGAACATTGCAGGTTGCTCTAATTAACTTCAACTAAATGTTTTACGGGTTTTTGTTGTTTGGGGTTTTTTTTAACAGTGCTTATGTAGCCAGGTCATCTATACAGGCTTTACTCAGGAAGTTTCAATTCAACCTAATCTAGGTCACAGATAAGGAGCTGGAGCCAGATACCAAGATTCACACTGGCTATCTTGCCAAGCCCACTTTTTAATAGCATTCTCTGGAAAAGAAAGGAAAAAAGCAAAATCAGTATTAAAGTCCACTGCTCCTAATTGTTCCCTTCCTTTAACTCTTCTAAGCCTTTGAGGCAAAGAAGCCTTGCTCAAAATGGTTTTTCATTCATTGCTGCTACTGCTGCAGCTACCAGAGTAGTGGCATATTTAATTAATGGCCCAATAAGTAGAATTTGTGCCCACTCTGCGAAATAAAAACCACTTTAATCAGTCTGTCAACTGATTGTCAACCTGTCAACCAAACAGGTACGGCTCACTTAATGCATTAGTTGGGGGAAAATAGATGAATGGAGATGAACTTAAAAAAGAAATAGAAGTTATGATCCATGATGTCAGGAAGTTTAAAATGCTGTAAAGGAAACAGGACAAAAATGCCAGGAAAAATACTCATCATGAGAACACATAAAGAACACACAAAACAAATACAAACCAACACAGCTAACTAATACATAATTAATGGAAAATGGTTGTATTTCACCTTTTTGTTTGTTTGTTTGTTTGTTTAACCTGATGAAGTGTACCCCTTTGAAAAAAAATTCCTACTTGAAGACCAAAATCAGTGAGTAATTTGGACAGGACAGGTTCTATGGAAGGAGGAACACTTGTTCAACAGCCCCCAGAATATGTTTGACTGCCCCGGTGTAGTGTGAAACAGAAGATGTTACTCCAAGTCATGAGAAAGTGTGTAAAATTCTTTATGAAAGAGGGACTCACAGAATGACAGAGGGTTACCATAAAAGCATTCCCAAATGAAGTACTCTTCCAAAGGAAGTCTTATGGGTTATTCTATATTTGTTCCTGGGCTTCTGTCAGTTCTGAGCATCATACGCTCAGATGTTGGGTCCCATACCCAATATCCATACTTAACACTGAGTGCTTTATGAAAGTTGGGGACCTAATTACTCATGAGTCAAACTAAAATTTTATTTTGGAGATTCATCTGAATTAATTCTAGGTGGAGGCAATGAGCCATAGAAAGAAACTAATCCTCTTGGGAATCAAAACCTGAAAATTCAACCCGGTCCTTATGAGTTCACAGTCCTTGGGTGGTAGGGGGTAGGTGAAGAGTTACATCTATGCATCTTATACTAACATCTCTGTGAATACGTTGAATCTCCTTGTAGAATGTATGGTCCTTCAGAGTAGGGACTGTCATACTTTTCTCTTTGTATCCTTGGTAACTAGCACAATGCCAGGAATTAAGTAGGCTCTTAAATACAGTTATTGATCAGTTAATTTTGTGAATTTTAGATGGGATAGTTGTATGATTGAATTCTGATCTTGTTCTGGTGATGAGAACACTATACCTATTTTTTATTTCTTTGGTTTTCCCTCAGGTAGAGGAAAGGGGAGATCTCTAAGTGACTACATAGCAATATGGGGTAGAGTACCATAAGGAAATTTCCTGATTGAGAGTAAAACTAGGATTGGAAGACCCACAACCTTAGTCCAGAGAGCTTGAGTGGGCTAATTCCAATATATTTAGCTTGGTCAGTGTTCTGAAAGGAAGCCATAATTCCTCAGTTAGGACCACAAGGCTGCTGACCCTTGTTACCTAGCTCAAAAAACTATCATAGTCCAAGGTTAGCATGAAAAATCTTACGTCAGAAAGAATCTCTTCTAACCATAATGGGACATCAAAAATGTTAAAGTAAAAAAATTCTGTTCTCCATGGCACTTGGTATTTAATTTGGGATTCAAGTCATTAATGCTACAGTGAAGGTTCGAAACTTGTGTAATTTTGGGCAAACCATTTAATCTTTAAGTGACGTGGTTGAGGGCAATCTATAAGGACCCTTTCAACTCTAAATCCTATGATGTCTAGTAGACGGTCACATACACCCATGCCAATGAAATGAATACTCTAGCAGATCCAACCAAACAAGAAACGCTTTAAGTAAAGGATAGTTATGGACCATATATCTATCATTCAAGGACCAGCCTCAATACAACCCTTGAGATTCACTACTAGATAGTTTGCTACCAAGTGGTGACTTTTGAATTTAGCCATAACAAATCATGAAGACTATATGCATAAGCATGGAGGGTTTATCCTTTGTGTTGATTGAAGGAGGATCCAATACACAGACAAAATTATGAAACTACTGAAGTAAGCCCTAGGCAGCACTATTTGTTCTTACCTCTTAGTCTTGGAGCAGAGGAATAAGAGTGAGGGGGCTATTCTTAAAGAATAGAAGGAGGGCAAAAAAAAGAATCAGAGAAAAAAAAAGTAGGGAGCCTACTCTTCTTCAGGCATTATAAATCCACTAAAGCAAGCTTACTTTAGGCTTATTATTATTTCAAGGGTAAGAAAGACAATACCCCTCTACCACTACAAAAAAAAAAAAAAAAAAAAAAA